GTGGCGGAGCTGGCCGCCGCCAAGGAGGCGGCCGCGCGCAGCGCCGAGGCGGCGCGCGCCCTGGTGGAGGCCGCCGAGGCGAGGCTGCAGGAGATGATCGTCACCCGCGAGACGGAGCGCATCCGCCTGGAGGCCGAGCGGGACGCGCTCCGCCGCCGCATCGACGAGAACCAGCGGCGGCCCGCCGTGTGAACCCCGAGACCTGGGCGCTGCCAGCTCTGCTCGTGGGGCGCGTCTTCGACCGGCTTCGGGCCCCATGGGGCCACCACGGATCGACCTGGCCCGAGCAATACAAGAAGCAGAAGGACGGGTTCTGTGGGGTTCCCGTGGCGATGCCTCGTGATGTCGTGCCATGCGTCGCCTCGTCGGATCCCCGGGAAGGGAACAGAAGGGGTCCGAGGGAAGCGGGTCCCGAGTCTTCCTCGCCGTCTTGGGCTTCCCCGTGGCACTCCGCTGGGCCCCAGGGGCCGTCCACAGCGCCAGGCTCGGGGGAGGAAGGTGCTGGGTCCAGGGGCCCAGCCCCGGGCTCCAGGGTCCGCTTCCCTCGGGGCGCCCGCGCTTCCTGCGTCGTGGCCAACAGGTGGCTGGAGGAGGAGGAGGCGCTCGGCGACGTCGAGGACGCCAGCGCCGTGCAGAAGATGGTGGAGAGCGTGGAGGATCGACGGAGAAGAAGAAGAAGAAGAAGAAGAGGAAAGAATTGCATCGACACGTTAGGAGGTGCCGGGCCACCCTCCCGAGACCCCCTCGAATTAAAACAAATCGCGACTGTTTTTGTTCTGCTATTTTCAGTCTCTCGGGGCTCTTGCGGGGCCTCGGAACCGTCAGCAACCGATCCAGGATGAAGAACGGGTCCCAGGGAATGGATCGAAACCTCTGGGGGTCGACGCTATGAACAAATCATATCGTCGGCGGCGCCAGAGGCGCCGCCAGGGGAGCCCGCCGCCGATCCGAGAGATCCCGGTTTTGCGCGGGATCTCTCGGGCGCGATCGCTCCGTCGAGGGCGCCTGGGGCGAGAAACGAGGCAGACTCGCGCCTCGTGATGTCTTTGACTAGACGTAAGAGCGATCTTTCGCCGAAGTGACATACGGTGCGAGCCCACTGGAGTCCCCCGATCACCGAACGCGATGCGGCAGTAGCGTCTTGCGCGCTTGTGTTTAGCCCCCCCGCGGCCCCCAGAAAGCCGCACACCAAAGGTCACTCTTACCCAGGGTCACTCTTACGTGCAGCTGGTGTCTGCCCACGGCTCGAAGACAGTCGCAGCGAGGCAAATATAAAACAGCGACTCGAGATCCCGACCCCATTGTGATCGTTTTCTGATTCATTGTTTTGCCGATCGGCGGGCGCGGGCCCTCGCACCCCCCCCCTCCCCCCCCATGGAGTTGATCTTGGCTGATTTTGGCGCCTGTTTCGAGCAGGTGGAGCCTCCCCCAAGGGACGCACGGTTGCAAACAGTCGCATGAAGCAGAGGTCTGGAGCCTTAGTGGGCCCCGGAAACAGCAGGGCCGTTTTTTCACCGGTTCCGAACAAGTGTCTCTTGAAAATGGAAACGGCAAAACAACGGCGACCGGAAACGGCAAAAAGCGACTCCAGGATCGGAACCGGAGCTGGGACCGGTACAAAAACGGCGACGGAACCGGTAAAAGAGCAGCGTCGGAACCCGCAAGGAAACGGCAAAACGGAGTTGGTGCCAAAAACCGCCTTGTCGTTTCCAGGGCCCACGAAGTCTGGAGCCCGCACCCCCCCTCCCGTCCAGTGTCAAGACGCGGAGAAAGAAAACGTCGACATTCTCGCGCGGGATCCCCCTCGCGTGGGAGCCGCGCGGGATCTCTCGAGGCAGCGCGCCCGCGCCGTCCTGTCCTCCCCTCGCCTCGAGGAGCGGCTCGCGCAGGCCAAGCGTCGGAACGACCAGGCCCGCGGGCGGGAGGCACACCTGCGGGTCCCAACAGTACACGCCACCGCCACCATCTCCAGTCCTCTCCCTCCCCCCTCTCCCCTCCTCCCTCCTCTCCCTCCACCCTCCTCTCCCTCCCCCCTCTCCAGGGAGAGGGACGGGATGAGGGAGGTGGTGGCGGTGGTGCATAACTACTGTAGACCTTTGGGCCTCGCAATGCCCACATCCACGGCCGCGCGGTCCGGGCCCTGGGGCAGCGACCCCGTCGGGGCGTTTTTGGGGGGGCTCGCGGATGCCACGCGCTGTGAAGAATCACGACGGGGGGGGGGTCGCCATTGTCGAGCTCTGGGGGCCCTCGCCGGGCCTCGGGACCGTCAGCAAAACGACTCGGGATGGCAGCAAACAATCCCCAGGACGGGTCCAGACTTCTGGTTTGTCGCGTCACGGAAAGAGCATGGCGTGGGGGTCTTAGGACGGTCAGAGGTTTCGATCTGCGGCCCTGCAGAGCTCCCGACCCTGCCCCAGGGGTGGCTCTTCCTGCCCAGGGTCAGCATCTGTTGATATTCCAGGCCCGAGATAACGGGCCCCGGAGGCCGAAATCAAGGACAAGCGCCGTGATTGAGAGCACCATTCGGCGGCGAGCGAGGGGGGGAAACGACCAGGAGAAGGCCTTCTCAGAAAGCGGTGGGACTTCTCAGAAGCCCTCGCGCCTTCTGAGACGTTTTCCGTGTCTTCGGGGAAGGCTTCGAAAACTTCTCAGAAGGCCGGGGGATTTCCAAGCCTTCTCAGAAGGCCCGCCCGGGATTTCCAAGCCTTCTGAGAAGGCCCGCCCCTCCTCATTTCCCCCCCCGTGCTCGCCGCCGAACACTGTCGTCGGAGATCCGGGATCCACTGGATCGCGCAGCGGAATCCAGACCGCGAGGGCGCGGACGTGGATAGAGCCTGTTCCTTAGACTCTAAGAAAGTTACTTGCATGGACGCGGGGGGCTGAACCCGAAGCAAGCCGCAAACGACTTGCACGTGCGGAGATCACGCAAGTTGACACGCACTCGAAGCGCAGTGTTCGTTTCGTCTGAGGAGGGGCGAGAGGGGGGGGGGGGGGCGCGCGAACGCCATGCAAGCAAATCTGCCCGAATCTAAAAACACACGCAGGCTCGTACGATTGCCGCTCGTGCTAGGCCTCCCTGCCGGAGCAGCACTCCCACAGCCGCGCGCCCGCCGTGGAGCGCCGCTGCGGGCGCCGCGCACGGCCGGCCACGAGCATGCAGGGGCTGAGGCGGCTGCGCGACGACAAGGAGGCCGCCCTCCAGGAGCCCAGGGATCGAGGCTCGAGGCTCGAGATTCTCGGGCGGTTTCGCTGGCTCTCGGCGGTGTTCCAGCCCGGGCATGCCCTCCAGCGGCTGTGCCCCGCCTTGGGGCGCGTTCTGGGGCAACCCGGGTCGTCCGGACGGCCGCCGGCGAGTCGAGCCATGGCCCCCCAAGCGCAGACATGCTCGCGTCGTGGAGAACTCACGGCGGGAGCTTTGGGGCATTTTCGGCCTCTGGGGGCCCTCGCCAGGCCCAGTGCAACCAATAAAACGGCGCGGGACCGCAGATGGGCAAAAAAGTGGAACCCTTCGATCGGCTCCCCCCTCCCCCCAGATTCACAATTGGTCCCAGGCATTCGGCAGCAGAGGCGCGAGAGGACTCAAAAAGTCGAACCCCCAGGGCCTCCACGAAGGGGTTCTACCTTTTAGTCCCCTCACCAGATGAGAATCTGGCCATTGGGAGAGGAAGGGTCAGGACTCTCGGGGGCCCCGCGCTGAAACAATTCCAGCATCGGACGTCTGGGACGGTCGGGTCTTCTGCTTGCTTAAGTAGCGTGTCTCGCCGCCAGCTCTGACCCACCACGCTTCAGCCCGACACACTACAGTGCCGTTTTAAAGACCAGTGCACTACTCCGCGTGCGGATCATGTATCAAACCTGCAAGGATTTAGTATTAAAAGCAACGATGAGTTCATGCATAAGTTTCTTCATAGACTAACGATGTATGAAGATCATATGTGTTTGAAAATCCCAGGTATTAAAAACTGCCCTGTAACCACGCCCCAGCCCCCAAGAGTCGACGTCCCGAGCTCTTCCCAGCCTCCCGCCCCGCGAGGCAGAGCGACGCGCGATCCGCTCGCAGGCACAGCGGGGACCCATGCCAAGAAGCACCCTGCCTGCCTCCAGGGTGCCCTGGGTTTTTCTCGGGTTTCGGTGGCTTTGCCGTGGAAAGCGCGACGCTCCCACGCCAGAAATCCATGGACGTCCCAGGGGTTCAGGGTTGGCGTGCCAGTGCGGAACGAAGCGAAGGAGGAGGAGGGATGAGGAGGAGGAGGAGGAGGAGGAGGAGGAGGAGGAGGAGGAGGAGGAGGAGGAGGAGGAGTCCTGCTCTTCCTCCTTTTCCCACCCCGTTTCTTGTGGAAGGCTTCTCGTGGATTGGCCTCCGCTGCCGCCTCCCGCCCCGCGAGGCAGAGCGACACGCCGCCAGCTCGCAGGCGCAGCATGGCGTGTCGCCGGGGCCGCCGCCGCGACGCGCCGAGAGCAACAGTCCCTGACCGTAGGAATCCCACCCCGCCAAGTCGTCCCTGGGACCCTGTAATGGCGAACTGCCATGCTCGCTTCTCGAGGGGGCGCCGCGGCCGCAAGCTCGGTGGGCCTGCTGCCGCGCCTGGCCCCGGGCAGTTTTTTGTCACTCCAGGGTGCTCTGCTGAAGGGTGGTGGTGTTGCACGTGCTCCAGCACCGTCGCCGTCGTCGTCGTCGTCGTCGTCGTCGTCGTCGTCGTCGTCGTCGTCGTCGTCGTCGTCGTCGTCGTCGTCATCGTGTGCTCCGGCACACACGCTCAGGATCTGCACGCTCTGCACGTGCTCCGCTCCTCGCCCGCGCGCCTCGTCCCTCCCTCCGCCCGCAGTGCCCCGCTCGGCCTCGCGGCAGCCCACGGCTGCCCCCCCCCCCCAACGCGCGGCGAGGGCTCTCGCCGCTGCGACGCCGACGCACAGTGCTGCCGAAGGCGAGGATCTCCTGTCAGACGTGATGGGCCAATTCTGCCACTACCGCTGCCACATGTGGGACGAGGGGGAAGCGAGGATGGGGAGGTCCTCCTCCTCCTCCTCCTCCTCCTCCTCCTCCGCCTCCTCCTCCTCCTCCTCCTCCTCCTCCTCCTCCTCCTCCTCCTCCTCCTCCTCCTCCTCCCCCCTATCCCACTTTTTTAATTCCGATAGTGGTGGTGGAAGATCGGCCCATCCAAGCGAGCACGGCGCGAGTATCCATCCCTCGAGGGCCCGCGCGGACCTCTCGCATCGGCGGCGCGCCTCTCCCGGAGGCGGCGGCGCGCTCGAATCGCCGCCTGGGTAGTCTCAGCGCGCTCGGGCGCGCCCTGTGGGACGGGCGCGTGCCGTGCGCTGCCTCCCTCCTTCCCCCTCCCCCTCCTCCTCCCTTCCTTCCCCTCCCCCTCCTCCCTCCCCCTCCTCCTCCCCCTCCTCCTCCTCCTCCCTCCTCCTCGCCTCCTCCGCCTCTCCACCTCCACTCCCCCTCCTCCTCCCCCTCCTCCTCCTTCCTCCTCCTCCCTCCTCCTCCTCCTCCTCCTCCTCCTCCCCCTCCTCCTCCTCCTCCTCCCCGGCCGCCGCCGAGGGATCCCGGACGTGGCGAGGACGCAGAAACGTCCGTTCCAGAGCATTCCGGAGCGCCCTCCGTCGAAGCAGAAGACACTGCAGAAGCATAAACTTTGGCGCTGCGCTCGGATTTCGTAGATCCGCGCTGGGGCCCCCCGGCGGCGCCCCTGGCGCGCTCCGTGCGCCAGGGAGGGGGGGTCCAGCGCGGATCCAAGGATTCCGTGCGGAGCGCCAAGAGTTTCTGTTCATGCAGTTTCTTCTTCTCCGAGCGTCCTGGAACGCTCTGGGAGGGCCGCGGCGACCGAGACATCCTCCAGAGCGCGGGACCGGCGACCGAGACATCTGCACCTCAGAGATTGCCCGAAATATCCTCAGTCTATGGTATCCTCGTCCTGGATTCGTCTTGAGATCCGCGCGGGCCCCCGAGAGGGTGGCAACTAAAGAAAAGTGAAGTCTTTGTTTGCGCCCGCGAGTTCGAGGCGGACTCGACGCGGAGCTGGCGTAGATTCGACGCGGATTCGACACGGGTGCGACACGGATTCGACGCGTTCGACATGGAGTCGACACGGATGCGACACGGACAATTTGGCGCGATGGGACAGATGTGGTCCCCCGAAGTTGCAACAGAAAGGCTTCGGATTGCGCACGGACCGACCAGGTCCACCGAGTAGCCCGCCAAGAAGCAGACGTGTCTTGAGGGAAATTGGTCTTGTGTTGCTTTTCTCTTCGGACGGGGTGAGAATCTGGTTCTGGGGGAAGGCCCTGGGTTCCAGGACCCATCTCCCACGGCCCCGCTTCCTTCATGCTGAGAAGTCCAGGGCAGTCTCAACACCCCAACGCGGATCGCCCCGGGGGGCGCCGCCGGAGGCGGTCTGTGCTCAACCCGAGGCCTTACCATGAGATCCGACGTCACGGGAAGCGTGCAACATCCTGAACATCGTGATCGGAGCCCTGGGCCCCAGCTCTCTGCTGCCCTCTCCGTCGGCCGCAGGTCGGTCCGTGAAGGCCCTGGGGGCCGGCCGAAAGCGCCCAGCGCGTGAGAGGGTTGCAGCGCCCAGGCTTGCATGTGCCTGTCTCGGACGGGGTTAGGACGAGGATAAGTCCGTTCCAAGGCGTTCCAGAATGCTCCCAGAGCGTTCCGGAACGGCTCCGAGAAGGGCGCCGCACCCGAGACGTCTTCCAGAGCCGAGGGATCCCAGAGATTCCCGACATCTCCCCCTCCCAAAGGTGTCCTCGCCCTGGCTTCGCCGCTCTGCCTGTGGCGTCCGTCGTGCCTCCCAGGAGCTGCGGCAGGCGGAGGAGGAGCTGGAGCAGGCGCGGTCCGAGAGCCGCGCGCGCCTGCAGCAGCTCGAGGGGCGCGTGGCGGAGGCCGCCCGCGAGTGCGAGCTGGAGGCCGAGCGGCGTCGGCAGCAGCTCGTCGCGGAGGCTCGGAGGCAGGGGCAAAAGGGAGGGATATATATATATATATATATATAATATATATATGTATATATATATGTATATATATATATATATAGGCGCAGGAGGGGGGGGGGGGGGGGGGGCAAAGGGGGAGGACAGGCTCGGAGGAGGGGCTCAGGGCCCAGGCTCAGCGGAGAGGCGCAGAGGATGGGCCCACCGGACGGGCTCGGGACACGGCCACGTTCGGCCTCCACGCATCACGGCTGCGAGAGTTGTGACCCGCTGCGAAAGCTTCCGCGAAGGCCAGTCGCGGGCGGGAGGCCCAGTGCGAACTCGAGCCGGAGGAGTGTCGACCTCCATTGTCGAGGAAGTCCTGGGCGGCAGCGCCATTTCGAAATCCAGCCAGAAGGGTGTCGAATTCCAGTTTTCGGGAAGTCCTGGGTGGGAGCGCCATTTCGAAATCGAACTCGAAAGGCTCCAGATTCTGTTTCGGAGGCAGTCCTGGGCGGGAGCGCCACGTCGAAATCGAACCAGAAAGGTTTCGACATCTAGTTTGGAGCAAGTCCTGGGCGGGACCGCCATTTCGAAATCGAGCCAGGAAGTTTCGAAATCGTTCGAAATTGTTTTTGTAGCGGAAGTGTCCAGTGAAGCCGTTGTTTCGAAATGGCCACACCGCTTGGCCTTATTAAGTTTTTGCTTAGATTTCGAAAGTGTGGTTTTCGCTTGAGCCATCCTCCAACAACAACGATCTCGACTGGATTTCGAAACTATCGGCCTCGAATTCGAAAGAGCAGTTCCGCCCGAGACTTGAACAAAACAGCCCTTGAGCAGAACGTTGTGCTGGGGTCTCGCGGCCGAGCGGGCCCCTTTGGTGTCCCCTCGTCGCGGGCGCAGCGCCTCTGACAGCGTTGTACTGGGGCCCCGTCGCCTAACGGGAGGCGCTGCATCTTGGCCGAACTTTCGCAGCGGCGAGGCATGGGGGCTCGGGGTGAAACGCCAGCCCCGGGGAACGGGGCCAGACCTCCAGGGCTCCCGCGTTGAGCAAATCTTGGCATCGCATGCCTGGGACGTCAGAAGCCCAGAGATCCGACGCTCCAACAAAACTTGGAGCGGGCGGTTTTGGGCTGTTGTGGGCGGGTCCCCCCCGAACGTGCCCCGTTCTCAGGAGAGGGGAGGATTGGGAAAGGAGTGGCAGGGCGACGCGTCCTGCACGCAGCTGAGTTCGACCCCGCCGCCAGGCGATGCTCGAAGAATGAAAAAGGCCATAAGCATAAGCTGCTGGCGCTCCGCGCGAATTTCTTGGATCCGCGCTGGGTCCCCCCCCGGCGGCGCCTCCCGGCGGCGCCTCCGACGCCGCCCCTGGCGCGCGGAGCGCGCCAGGGAGGGGGGTCCGGCGCGGATCCGAGAAATCCGCGCGGAGCGCCAACCGTTTATGCTGATGGCCCTCTTTCTTCGTCTAGATGCATCGGCGAGGCATCGCTGGTTCTGGGTCGGTGTGTCGCCCCCTGGATCAGGAGGGGAAAAAACCCACAGACATAATTAATCGTCGATTCCCCAGGAAATATGGGAAAGTATGGGAAGTGGGGGAGAAGACAAAAACCCAGAAAATATTGGGAAATATGGGGAATCCTTGAATTTGCATGTATTTATTTGTGTGTCCTGGGCCCCCTTCATGTTTCTTCGTCTAGATGTATCGGCGAGGCATCGCCGGTTCTGGGTCGGTGTGTCGCCCCCTGGAGCCGGCTCCCCCCCCCCCCGAGCGTTGCCCCCTCGAGGCGTCGGCGCGGTGCGGCACGCTGGGCGAGCAGGCGGGCGCTGCGGAGCTCGGAGAAGGGAAAGCTCGGGGGAGGAGCGCGCACCGACAGAGTTCAGGAGGGAAAGACACACACTGACACAGTGAATAGTCGACTCCCAGCGAAAACATGGGAAGTGGGGGGAAGACCCAAACCCAGAACAGATTGGAACATATGTGGGGACCCGCATCATGAAATTCAAGCAGTGGCGAAGCGTCCTGGCTCGCCTATAGCCCCACTAAGCAATGTTCTAAGAACCTCTTGTGGTTCCCACGAAATGTTCTTAGAACATTCCTGGCGGAGTCCGTCTTGGTTTAACACATCGGGTTTATGTTCTAAGAACATTGTTTTTGTCCTTAGAACATGATTGGGTTCTAAGAACATTTCGTGGTAGGACTATAGGAATGCCGGGACGGTCGGCCCCTGCTCAAGAAATCGCTGCGCCGACATTTGAAGAAGCAGAGACGGCAAAGACATAAACTCTTGGCGCTCCGTGCAGATTTCTTGGATCCGCGCTGGGCCCCCCCCCCCCGGCGGCGCCTCCAGCGCCGCCCCTCCAGGCCCTGGCGCTCTCCGCGCCAGGGAGGGGGTCCGGCGCAGATCCAAGAAACAGCGCGGATCACCAGACGTTTAGAGTTTGTGCCGTGTTGTCTTCCTCCAGACATTGGCGCGTAAGCTGTCCGCGCAAGCTCGCACGCAAGCGCCCTCGTTCCCAATGTGGCGTGCCGCGCTGGCGGCCCGCATAAGCCGCCGCGTAAGGTCGCTGCGTCATCTCGCGTAGGATCCTTTCTTGATCGTCGCTCACCTGCTTTTCGTGAGGCTGCCCTTGATTTCTTCGCTCCGCGGGCTGCGCGGTACCTTCCCGCCGCCGCCAAAGAAGCTCCTGCGTTCAGCGTGCTCTGGGCTTCCTCCCCGGGTGCATCTCCAGGGCAGGTCTTTAGGCCCGCAAAGTGTCGGCATGACCTTCCCTGTGGTCCGACGTTGCCACAAAAAAGGCAGTTAAAAAAAACTCATCACCAGAGACCCAGACCCTATCTTTCTGCTGCATGTTTCGAGCCCGATCGATCTGTGAGGATACCGGGGACCGAAACTGGGCGAAAACGCCCGTTGTGAAAAAATGCAGCGCCAAGATCTCAGGGTTTCAAGGCTCTTGTATCCTTGTCGTGCGTCCTCATTATACGGGTTGCCTGTAGCCATCGTGCCACTACCCTTGCCTCGTTGTCACCCTCGTGGGCCTCCTAATTATGGGAGGCGCCCGTCGCCGCGCGGCTGGCTGGAGCCGTTCTTTTTTTATTTTACGGGACAGCGGCCGCCAGCGGCCCCGCGCCCCCCCCCCCCCCCGATGACGTCACGTTTCGCGCCGGCGGCGTCCGGGAATGCCTAGAGATGACCGGTCTAAGTAGGAGCAGCATGTAGGGGGCGATTTGCACCACAGCGCCTGTGTACAGCACAGTGCTCGCGTGCAACACAGCGCGCGTGTACACCACAACACCAGTTTACACCGCAGCAGCCGTGTGCAAAGCAGTGCCTGTGCACACCACAGTGCTTGCGTGCACCACAGCGCCTGTGTATACCACAGCGAATGTGTACACCGCAGCAACCATGTGCAAAACTGCGCCGGTGTACACCAAAATGCTTCGCAACGCCTGTGCACACCACAGCGCCTGTACACCACAGCATCGGCCTGGGCGATTTCTCAATCGAGTGCGTGATATCGCAGCAGTGGCTCCGCCACGGGTGCTTGCAGCTGTCTTGCGTTGTGTTTTCAATGGCTGGACTACTTCACGGCGTTTTCAAGGCCGTGGCGGGTGTATTTTCGGCTGCAGGGGGCGCGACGACAGTATCGAGCATTACGCCATATGTGCGTCGTTTCACCGTCTGTGCTCGAAACACCTGCATCCTGAGGCGCCTCCGGCCCTGGAGCGACTGGCTGATTTTCTATGCGTGAGTCCATGTGTGGGTTCTCTGCAAGCGCACCTCCGCTCGGCCGGCGGTGTCGCTAAAGCAGCGACGCTGCGTGCCATTGGCGTCTATGCCATGTACAGGTTGCACGGCGCTGCTACCCATGGCAGGGCTCTCCGCGCCGATTTCGATGGCATATTCGGCGAATTCGTTCAGGAGGGAATGCGTGGTTCCTCGCGGGCTGTGTCGCTAGTGCTTGCGGCGCGCAAGCGGCCTCGAGGTTAGTCGTTCGTCCCTCTCCCCCTCCCTCTGCTGGTGTCGTTGTCGTCCTCGGCGTCCTCGTCGTCGTCTCTCGCTCTCTCCCCCTCTCCCCCAGGGCCTGGTCAGCCCATTTGTCTCACGCTTCACTGCACTTAAATCGGCACTGTCAGCATTTCTGCTTTCGCTCGGCCTGGGGGCCGATAGCTTCACAGCTTCTCTGAGACCTTGGGATGGTTTTCCTTCGTCCTCTTCTCCTCTCTTGTCTCATGTTGTGTTGGATTTTCTGGTTCGGCCGACTAGGCCATTCAGCAAGGGGACGGCCGCACAACGCCTCGGCAGGCCAGGGGAAGATACGCCGCAAGGCAAGTTCGTATCATTGGCTAGCTTGCCTCTCTCCCTCCTCTTCTTCGTCCTCCTCCTCCTCCTCCTCCTCCTCCTCCTCCTCCTCCTCCTCCTCCTCCTCCTCCTCCCTGTAGGCGGTGTCGTTTACCCGGCCAGCCCCTTCCAGGCTCTGCCGCTTTTTTTTTTATTTTTTTTTTTTATATTTTTTTATTTTTTTTTTTTATAGTTTCTTTTTTTTTTTTTTTTTTGTATTTTTTTTTATTATTTTTTTTTTTATTTTTATTTTTTTATTTTTTTTATTTAGTTTTTTTTTCTTTTTTTTTTTTTTTTTATTTTTTTTTCCTTTTTTTTTATTTCTATTTTTATTTTTCTTTTTTTTTATTCTTTTTTTTTATAGTGTGCTACAGTGCGGTTCGAGCCCGTGTCCACGCTTTTTGCCAGGGGGCGGCAGCGGTTCTTTCATGGGTGCAGTCATAGCCCCCATGAGGGGAAGCGGATTCGATATTCAACGTATTTTTCAGAGCAGCGCCGCAGACGGCGGACAATCATCGTTTTTTCTATAGCGCGTCTGTTGTGTGCAAACGGTGATCGGTTACCGACGCCATTTGGCTCAAAAACTGTTCGCGTATGCGCGAGTACGAAACTCGCGGGAGTGATCGCAGATGGGAGGGAAAGAATAGGGCGCTCTTTTCCTCCACGCTCGGATGCTTGAGCCAACGGTTACGGACACGATAGCTTGCACCGCGAACGCCGCGATGCACAATCCCATGATGTGGGATAGCTCATGTCCGCACGCTGCTACACAATGCTATGCACTAACTTGCATCAGGCTTGCTACCTTCACTTTCCTAGGCTATGTAGTTCACCACGCCTCCTCAGAGCGCGGCGCGGGACAGTCGCCAAGCACTGCCTGCTCTCACTACACTAGCCTGAACCCTGGGCGCGGGGCGCCTTCCGCTGCCCAGGCCACGGCCTCAAAAGCCTCATCGGTTGGAGCGGCACGGATGCTCACCTCCACCGGATCGCCACGCCTCCGAGGAAGACCTCCGAAGGCTCATCCATCGCACCGCGATGGGGTCATCTGCAGCCTCGCGTGCGTACTGCTTCCCATTCGCCTCCTCGAGGCTCATCCGCTGTCGCGGCCTGGAGCCGCAGACGCGGGTGCTGTCGCGGGAGTTCTGCTGACCAGCGACCCAGGCGCGGGGCTGACCGCAGCCTAGGTGACAGCCACATCAGCCATGGCTGTGTTCAGGCACGTAAGGTTCACGATGCCCTGTATCGTCGCTTCTTGCTCCTACGCTCGTCCTCCTCCTCCTCGTCACGCCGCCGCAGGCGGCCGCGGGCTTCCACTTGCTCCTGGACCTTGCGCGGTCGGCGCGCCCAGTCCCAGAGGCGCACCAGCCCCCAGGTCAGAAGAGCGACGAGCATATAGTTGATGAGCTTGGAGTCCTCGCACTGCGGCTTCACCGCGCACGTCAGCTCCTCCTGCGCCTCCTGGGCGGCCTGCGTTGCAGGGGCCGCTCCCAGGGCCACCAACACCGCCAGGAACCGGCGGCACGTAGGCTTTGCCAGGGGGAGCAGTTTCATGAGCTCCTGGTGCCTCTTCGGCTCCAATGCCTTCGTTCCCAGGTCGGCGATGTTGGTCTCGCCGGGGACCTTCTTGAGGATGATCTGCTTCTCCCGGACGGCGTCCTGGACCCAGAGCCATCGCGTCGCGATATGGCGGGTCTTCCCCACGCCGCTCCTCGAGCTGATGCCGATGGCGGCGCTGGCGTCGCTGCCGACGGTCACGGACCATGCCGCTCCGGCACCGCGCAGATCCGCGATCTCCTTGAAGAGGCTCTGGGTCATGATACCCCTGGCCGCACCGTCGACGATGCCGTAAAGCTCGGCCTCCGCACTGGAGAGGGCACGGACCTGGTCAGTCACGACCCAGGACTCGATCAAATGCGAGCCCACGAACTCGCAACCTGCGTGGGTCGAGTACCGGTCTGGCTCCTCGGCCCAGTTGCTGTCGACCGGGATCCAAGAGCCACCTGCCTCCGGCTCGTGCTTGAAGACGAGCGCCAAGAACGGGCAGCCTGCGAGGTACCGCGCGCAGCGGTCCAGCCTTGCATTGCCTAGCCGGCGAGGCGTGGACATCTGCTCGCCCAGTTCCTTGGCCGAGTACTGGATGTCGAAGCGCCCGGACGACACGTACAGCACGCGACCGGTGTCGCTACGATACTTGGTCTGCGACTCGCCGTCGAGCTCGTCGAGGATCGCCGGATCGTCCCTGCCGATGTGCTTGCTGCATGGGCTCCCTTGGGGCTTAGCTTTGAGCTTGCCCGTGCTTTCCAAGAGCATCGTAACGTGTTTCGGGTCCTCGTTCCACTCGTAGCCGAATCCCGGCACGTAGCAGATGTAGCGCTTGAGGTAACGGCCCATCAGGCTGCAACCAGGTCCGACGCGAGGGAGGACCTTGATGTTGCACAGCCGGCTGATCATGGCGTCAAGATGGTCGATGCCCTCGCTCTCCGCCTCAGCTATGATGTCGTCGCCCCACAAACCGGCCAAAGAGTCGTACTGCCTCGAGTAGAAGATCTGGCGGCTGGTTTTCAAAACCTGGTAGCCGCACTGGTCGAAGACCTTCACCATAAACTCGAGGAACAGCTGCGACGCACGGCGCGTGCCATACATCGCCTTCAGCATCTGCCACACCATCCCCGGGACCTCCTCGCCCCTAGGCGGGATCACCGTGATCGGCTCGTCCAGCGGCAAGTCGGCGTGCCAGAATGCTGTGACGATGTCGTAGAGCCCCAGCACCCTGGTCCACTCGTTGGAGCCAGGACGTCTTATTGAGGCAGCTCGTGAGACGATCAACTTGATGAACTTCAGTGGGGGCGTCGCCGTGTACGTGTCCAGCCGGTCGTACATGTTGAACTCCATGGCCACGCACCTCGACCGGACGGTGGTCTCACCGTCCTGCACGCGCTTCTCGTCGAGCCACATGCTGCGCACCTTCTTGCCCCTAGCGTCCTTCATTGGCACGCGCTCGTAGAGGCACCTGTCCAGCATGTTCTGGCGATCCCGTGCGCGGCCCGCGCGCACGAGCTCGGGGTCGAGCACCTCGCCGGTCTTGTGGTCCTTGACGTCCTGCGTGCCGATGTCTGGCGTCGCCACGTAGGCCACCGGCGTTACGATGCTCCTGGCCTCCGCAAAGGACGGCTGGCCGCACACATGCAGAGCGCCGATTACGCGCCTCCTCGAAGACGCGGGCCCGCTGGCATCAGCGCCACCACTCTCGAAGAGCTCGACCTTCTCCTGGAAGCTCAGGTCCTCCCGCTCGCGCTTCGCCGCGATGCTCGCAGCCTCCATCTCTGCGTCCACGGCGGGGTCACAGGCTGCCGGGGCCAGCCCTGGTGGAGCGGCAGGGGCCGCATCCTCCGCCGGAGCTGCCATGTCGGCGTCTGGAGCGGCTCCGGCAGGTGCGGGGAGCCCCGGGGGGGCTTCGACTTGAGGGCCGGATGCCGCCGGCTGCGGCGCCTCTGCGGAGGCCGCCGGCGCTGCGGCACTACTTTTCTTTTTTTTTTTTTTTTTGTTTTTTTTTTTTTGTTTTTTTTTTTTTTTTTTTTTTTCTGTTTGTTTTTTTTGTTTTTGGTTTTTTGTTTTTGTTTGTTTTTTTGTTTTTTATTTTTCTTGATTGCTAGTGCCTCATCCTCCTTCCCCCAGATCGCCAAGAAACGAGCCTTGCAGGTGTCGCTGTGTCCCGTCGTGCGCCCCGTGCAGCCGGGGCACTCGGGAGTGAGGCCGTACTTGTCGAGGTAAGCCTTCGTGATGTAGCGCTTCGGCCGGACGGCCGGGGTCTGGGCGTCCAGGCGCGGAAGCCACGGAGTGCAGAGCACCTTATCCAGCATCTTCTTGTTCCACCTCTTGCCTATAGCCTTGCGGCGGACAGATCTGGCTAGGCGCACTTCGTTTGCAGAGCGGCGGGTTGGGGCGGGAGCGGGGGGGGGGGGTGGAGGGGGGGGGGGGGAGGGAGGACGGGGTGAGGTCCGTGGGCGCGGGCGCCGGGGGGGTGGTGGCGACCGGGGGCTGTGCGGGGGGGAGGGGGGTCGGGGGGGGCGGCTAAGGGGGGGGGGGGAGGGAGGGGGGTGTGTGCGGGGGGGGGGCCCCAACACGATGATGTGCTCGTCGGTCTTCCAGCTCTTGCCCAACCAGATGCACGTGGTCCAGCGCTCGTCCAAGGACGAAAGACGGGAGGCATCGGGGGTCCGGTACCACAGGCACTCCCCGAAGAGGGCAATCTTGCCGGTGTATGGCCGGCCCTTCAACCTCTCGTAGCCCGTCTGGCCGTCCGCGCGCACACGGTACATGCATATGCACCAGCCGCAGTGCCGCACAAGCCAGGGCACCAGCGGGTGACCAGTGTGCAGCTCGACCTTCGCCACGTCCATCAGGTACAGGACGATGGTCCTCAGCAGGTTCTTCACCTCCTTGTTCATGTTCTCGACGCCGCCCATGGACTCAGGCGAGTACCGGGGCTTCATCTCCAAGACTGTGGGATCCGCACGCCCGATGCGGATCGCCTCCGCCAGGGCCTTGATGGCGGGCTCGCCGTCGACCCTCAAAATGATGGCCTTCCTACCCCAGTACCCGAGGTACTCAGTGACGCTGCGGATCGCGTACTCGATGGGGCCCTTCTCGTCCACCACCAGCGCCAACACCATCCCGAGCTCCTGGTCGTATACGGTCAGGATCGTCATCATGTCGAACGGGGGGTCGGTCACGAACGTGTAGTCCATCATCACAATCGGCTTCAAAGGCATCGTAACGGGCATGCGCGTCCGATGGTGAGGATCGTCAGGGGCCGCAGCCCGTGTGCAGTAGCTGCACCATGATCTAAACGGGATGTGGGTCAAGTAGTGCTCCTCCTTCTCGTGATCCGAGGGGCCGATGGGGACCTTCACGGATCGGTGAGGCCTCGCCTCATCAGAGGCATCCAGGGGGGCTGGAATGCGTCGTAACGCCTCCCTGGGGGCCGCCCGGGCCTCTACAGGTGCCGCGTCCGCCGCCGCGGGGCCTACCGCAGGCGCGGGCTGCACCTCCTCCGCAGTCGCGGGCTCAGCCGCAGACGCGGGCTCTCCTACCTCGATGGCCGTTGGGACGCGCGCTGCACGGATCCCTCGGGCCTGCCGCCGAAGCCTCAACCACGGCACGTCCGACTGCATGACGAGGTCGACGCAGCCTCCACTGGCAGTGTGGAGCATCTCACGCTCCGGGGCGATCACGACAGTCGCCCCTCCGCGCCGCAGCGCGGAGGCCGAGAGGATCAGGCAGTTCACGTTCGTCACGTTCCACGTGATAGCCATCTCCTCCCCGTTGTCCAACACGTAGGTGATGTTCTTGGTGCCGTAGTTCTTGATGGGCTCGCTCGTGGCACTCACCATGGGACGAAGATCCCTACGAGGAGGCAGCATGGGAACATCAGGTGCATAATCAGCAGGGCATGCCACGACCCCCGACCCGGAGTCCAGCAGGGCGAGCTCGACACCACCATGTCCCACCGCAGCAATCATGCCAGCAGGCTGGATCATGTTGACCGTCAATGGATCGTCCACGGCTCGTCCGGAGACGAGCTGGATGCTGCGCCGGAGCCCTGAGGAAGAACTGCCGGGGTTCCGGGTAGAACCGGCGGCACGGGGCCTAGACCCATGACGACGGTGCCTGGGGGGTGAATGGAGTGGATGCCGTGCGCTGGAGGCGCTCCCCCCTGGCCCGGGTACCACATGGGCTGGAAGAGCGCCGGGTACGCCGCGTTCATCGGCATCGGCACGCCCGGCGCGGGCAGGGCCAGCTGCGTGCTGGTGCTGCTGCTTCCTAATGCCCCTGCTGCTGCTCCTCCTCCTGCTCCTCCTCCTCGGGCCTCCTCTGTCACGCTGCGGGCTCCTGCTCCTGGCAGTGGCTTGCCGTTCGCGTCCACCTTCCCGGCCTTGATGTCGGCCTTGAGCTTCCTGCACTCGTTCTTGAAGTGGTTGGGTTTCCCGCAGTAGTGGCAGTCCTTGCCCGAGGCGGGGTTGTGGGTGTCTTTGGTCTTGGCTTTGCCCTTGGAGTCCTTTCCTTTCCATTTGGAGTCCTTCCCCTTGCCCTTGGAGGTCTTGCCTTTGCCGTCCTTGACGGCTCCGATCAGCATGGGGTCGTCGACGTCCTGGGCCCACGTCCGCTTGGCCACGGCGAAGTTCAAGACCTCCGCCCGCAGCCTCTGGAACGTGTCCAGACGAGCGGCGTTGAGCAGGAGGTGATCCCGGACCTTCGTGTTCTGCATGCCGCCCACCAACGTCGAGGTCTTGACGTCCTCGTCCAGCACCTTCCCGCTCTGATTCTCGTGACGCCGGACGTCCCGCTCGAAGCTCTCGATCTCCTTCGCGAGGTCGCCGTTCGGGTCCTTGCCGAACTCGCGGCGCAGGAGTGCGTGCAGCACTGCGCCATGGCGGACTCGCACGTCTGGTTCGTACTCCCAGCATAGCCGCCGCCAGGCCTCTGCGCCGTTGCCCTCCTCCACGTTGTGCAGGAGAAGGTGAGCGTCGTCCGTCGTCGTCATCACCAGCATGTAATACAGCTGGCGGCTCAAGGCGGCCGTGGCCTCGTCGAGATCTTGACCTTCCACGACATTGGCTCCCATCGCCTCCACGCGCGTGAAGAGCTCCGCCATGTTGGCATGCGCGGCGCAGGCGAAGGCATGGAAGACGAAACGGAACTCCCGCCACGCCTCGCGGCGCCCTGAGAAGCTCGCCGGCTTCCCCAGGGTCCGCGTGTCCACGGTCGCGCCGCCAAGGCGCTCCAGTAGCGGCTGCTGCGGTGCCGCCGCGGGCGCGGCACGAAGCTGCGCGAGCTCGGCCTGCGCCGCCTGCAGGCCTTGCTCCGCGGCCTGCCCGCGCTGCTGCTGCCGCTGGAGCTCCTGCACCAGTTCCTGCTGCCGCGCCTCCATGGCCTGCAGCCGCTGGGCCAACTCCTCCATCGTCCCCGCCGGAACGACGCGCGCGGGCGCCGACGGAGCGCCCGCCGCGCTTGCTGGGCATGCACTGCCGCAGACCGCGGGGCTACCGCAGGTCGCGGGTCCCAACCAGGCGCGGGGCTAACCGCTGCCTAGTGGGCTTCCCAGGCGCGGGGCTACCCGCTGCCTAGGGGGAGCCGCGGATTCAAACCGCAGGCTCCGCTACCATGCGCGAGTACGAAACTCGCGGGAGTGATCGCAGATGGGAGGGAAAGAATAGGGCGCTCTTTTCCTCCACGCTCGGATGCTTGAGCCAACGGTTACGGACACGATAGCTTGCACCGCGAACGCCGCGATGCACAATCCCATGATGTGGGATAGCTCATGTCCGCACGCTGCTACACAATGCTATGCACTAACTTGCATCAGGCTTGCTACCTTCACTTTCCTAGGCTATGTAGTTCACCAGCGTAGCAGGAAAACAAATCCGCGTGAAACGCAGCGCTGGTGTACACCACAGCGCCTGCGTGCACAGGACAGGTAGAAGGAGCATGTAGGTGAGGATCTGCTGCGGACAGCTAAGCATCACGCAAGGGAAGTGCTGAGCATATAATGCGATGTCATTCCCCCCTCCCTCCTCCTCCTCCACCTCCACCTCCTCCTCCTCCCTCCGTCGTGCGGGTCGGCGAAGCAGCGCACGTACGCATCTCAGCGTGCACCTCAAAGTGGTCTATTGAATCAGTCCACTGGGTTCTCAGGCGGCCAATTCTGCGGGAGCCGTCTGGACGCAGATGGGAGGAGTTAGGATGATGCGGGAGGACTCGGGAGGACTCGTAGATTCCAGCGGCGTTTTTTTTCCGTAAGGATTCTTATCCAAATCTGATTGTACACAAATTCTTTGTTGTGTAATCCACAGGCGCTCCATGTTGTCACAAGGATTCCTTCTACCATACAATATACAACAATGGTATTCTGTTGCTCACGGTTGCTGTGGTCCCCAAAGGCGCCGTGGTGCACACAGGCGCTATGATGCACGCAGGCGCTGTGGTGTACACTGGTGCTGTGTTGCACGCGGCTGCTATGGTGTACGCAGGCGTTGTGGTTTTCTTTGTGTTTTTTAGTTTATTTTTTTGTTTTATGTTTTCTGTTTTTCTTTTTGTGGTGTACACAAGCGCCGTAGTGCACGCGAGCACTGTGGTGCACACTGGCGCTGTGTTGCACGCGGCTGCTCTGGTGCACACAGGCGCAATGGTGCAAGCAGGCACTGTGGTGTACACAGGAGCTGCGATCGCCGCCCACGTGCTGCTGCTGCCCGTCCTCGGTCATTCCTAGCATTCCCAGACGCCGCCGCCGCGAAACGTATCGTCATCGCCCCCCAACCCCCCCCCCTCCGCCCGTGTGACGCCCGTCATCGCCCCAGAGTGACAAGTCGGGCTCCTGCGCATCGAAGTTCTGACTGGGATGCACCCTGGGAGAGGTCCAGGGGGGGGAGCACGGCCGGACCGAGGCATCGGGTCGAGGTCGGCCCGGACAGGGCACCCTGATGTTCCTCGTGCTCGTGGGGTGCTCTTGTGCATCCTGGGGGAGGCTACCTTCGGATGCTCCCCAGATTGGCCAGCGGAGGTTCTCATGTTCTTGAAGGATGCTGTTCTGTCCTGGGTCCTGCTGTAGCGGTATCGTCATCTTCTCTCGGCGGCGAGCCAGGGTGGAGGTGAGGAGGGGCGGGCCCTCTCAGAAGGTTGTCCCCCCGGCCTCTTGAGAAGCTTTCGAAGCCTTCCCCGAAGGCACGGAAAACGCTTCAGAAGGCCAGAGGGCTTCTGCGAAGCCCCGCCGCCTTTTGAGAAGGCCTTCTGCTCCTCGCTCCCCCCCCTCGCTCGCCACCGATTTTTTGCGGGCCCGACAGAGCGGAGAAGAACCAGCGGCACACGATGAGACCTCGGCGTCGCACGTTTGCTCACCGCGGGCATGCTCGCCCAGCCTCCGGCCCCGGGAGCGCCACAGATCGATCCGGCTCAAACTTGCCGCAGGGAGGAACGGTCCAGGGCTCCAGCCGTGACCAGCAGAGCGAACTGGATCCTGAGAGAGAGACGGGCCGTGCGGAGCTCTTGCGCCGCCTGCGGCCCTCGGGGGCCTTCCACGAGCCCCAGGGCCGTCCCCCCCAAAGCGGCTCGGGATGGAGATCCCGTCCTGGAGGCAGCGGTCGTGGTCCGGTGGCGAACGAACAGGGCACATCCATGCCCATATGGGGGGGCGGGCGGGGCTAACTTTCTGGGCGCGTGTTGTTGCATGGGGTTCGCCACCGGGTACCTGTACAAGGCGTTCCTTTGCAAGCACGTCGTTTTCGGCACCGGCTGATCCCGAGGCTTTGCCTCCTCCCGGCCTCGCCGTGAGGCTGCGCTCATTCCCTTCCCCCCCCCCTTTCTTAATTCAAGCTTCGCGCGGCCCGCTTAGCTTCGACCACAAGAGGTGCGCTCTCGACCCGCGAATGAAAACAAATGTTGTTGCATGGGGCTCCCCGCTCGATCGGAAGCCTCCCCAGGGGTCCGACAACCCGCACCCATGCCCATACCCACAGCCCGGCCTCACCCCTCCGACCTGCCTGTGGGTATGGGTGTGCGCTGGTCGTGCCTCAGTCCGGCGCCTGCCTGTCTCAGGGCCCGCGCCCCGCCTGGCAAGGACATTTTGGGAGGCCCGCGCGGGGGTCCTGGATCGGCGCGCGGCCCCCCCTGCCTGGCGCGCGGAGCGCGCCAGGTGGTCGCCAGAGGCGCCGCCTGGGGTGGTCGGGTCCAGCGACGATCCACGAGATCCGCACGGGTCTCCGACAGCTTATGTTTGCACGTCTGGTTTAGGACGCAGCTCCTGGGAGGTTGACTTCGGCATCGGCGCTGGCACGTCCATGGCTGAAAACTGGCCCAGTCCGTCGTCACCCCGCTGAGTCCGGCGCAATTCCGCTCAGTCCGCGCGAATTCGGCTTGTCACAGGCTGCATCTAGCCTGAATCTGCCAAATTTGCTGAATCGCCGCTCAATCTGGCCGGATCTAGCCCTTAATCTCGGCCACGCGGAGAGGGGGAGTTGGAATGACCCCTGCTCCTCAAAGGGCGCGGGCCTTGCCTGTAGATGGAAGGCCCGCGCCTTCTAAGAAGCCGCCTCCTTCTGAGAAGCCTTCCCCCCTCCCCCATACCTCGAGTAGAGGATCGACTACAGAATTGATTTACACCGGGATTCATTGTTCTCGTTGGATCGACGGAAAATTCATAGACTGCCCGTAGATCTACGAAACTTTTACGTACTGTGGTAGAATATTCGACGTGAACATCAATTTGGGGGTGTTCTGGAGTCGATCCCTTGCTCGAATACCACCATGTGCGCGCCGGCAATCATCGTGCTCACGAAGGCCCCCCAGGAGTTGCCTCCCAATTGTTGCTGCTCCCCTCTTTAGGAGCGGAGGGCTCAGACGGTGCGGCTGGCCAGGGCGGAGCTGGAGGTCTTCGTCGCCACGCTGGAGGCGGAGCGGAAGGCCCCGGTCGGACGAGAGGGGGCGTTGGGAAAAACGGCTGGACCGAGCCATGAGATCGAGGTCGGTTCGGGGAGGGGTGCCCGAATGGTCTTCGTCGTGTGTTGGACGTTCCAATGCATCCTAAGGGGAGGGTGCCCTCTTAGATTCTGCCTGTTTTGGCCGACGGATGGCCTCACGTTCGAGCACCAAGACGGTACCGAAACTGGAGGGTTTTCACGCGTCGGGCCCTGGGAGGCCAGACTCGTTCGACACTGCTTCGAGAAGTACGCTTCTGGGCGTTAGAAATGATTTCTGGGATGTGGCCCTGAAGTGCGATGGGGGGCAACAGAACGTTAGCGGGCGCGTCAGGCGGTCAGGGGGGGTCGCGTCGAGCCGCAAGCGCCCATTAACATCGCCGGCAGGGGCCCGGCGACCCGGCCCGCCCAGGACCGTGCGGTGTCGCGATCGGGGGCCATCGCCCATGTTCAGGAGGGGAAAAAACACAAAGACACAATTAATCGGCGATTCCCAGAAAATATGGGAAAATATGGGAAGTGGGGGGGAAGACAGAAACCCAGAAAATATGGGAAAATATGGGGGACATTTTTATTTGTGTGTATTTATTTGTGTGTTCCAGTTCCCCTTCACATGTGTATCGCCGATTCCGGCTCGATGGTTCCCCTCCTGGGCCGGCTCTCCCCGCAGGCTCCTCTTCGGAGTGAGAGGGATGGAGCAATGAGCGCCCCCCGGCGCCCCAGGGGCGCCGATAGTTCTGGCCAGCGCGAGCCGATTCGCCAACGGCGCTCCCGTTTGCGATCGCCCCCCGTTGTCTTACGTCGGCATGTCCCCATCTACAGGAGGAATATTCGAAAATAGTCCAGCAATCATCAGGGGACGATTGTTTGACATTTGTTGAACATGTTTTCACTATTTTGATTTTTTCGTCAAAGCCCGCCGGTAGGACGACACGCCCGACCTAACCGTTGTCGCCCAGCCCGCACAGGCGGAGCTGGCGCGCGCCGACGAGAGCGTGGATCGGCGCAGACAGTCGCGCAAGGGCGCCGCCATCGAGCGCCCGAGCGGCATCAGCGGCCGCTTCTACCTGGCCCTTCGACCCCAGGTTTACGACAGGTGAGCAACGCGGAAGCGCGGGGTCGATTGCGCGGGCGCGCGCGCGTAAGTTTCCCGCGTGAGACCGCGCGCGAGCGCTTTCTCCTCCACGCGGTGTTCCACGCTGGCGGCCCGCGTGGGCCACCGCGGAGGGTCGCTGTGGTTCCTCGCGGCAGACCCGTTCATGTTCGCCGCTCAGGTGGGAGGTCATGCACTACCTCTGCGCCGCGCTGTGCCTCGAGGCGGACATGTTCCAAGTGCTCGAGGAGTCCGTGGTGCCCGCGGACACCCGCATGGACCAGCTGGTGGAGACCCGCGGCGAGCCGCTGCCGCCGTGCAGGGAGCGGATGAGCTCCTTCGTGCGCGCGCTGCCGGAGAGCCGCCGCGACCCGCGGCCTCCCTCTGTGGACGAGCCGCCCCCGCAGGACGCGGACGAGGCCGCCGGCGCCTGCGCGCGCCAGGGCCCGCCTCCGGAGCACAGCCTGGTGCGCCTGGTGGTCGAGCTCACCCTGCCTGGAGACGAAGGCGAGCAGGAGGTGACCTCGGCCACACGCAAGGGTGGCCCGCCGTGGAAGTGACCTCTGGTGCGGGCACGCCGGGGCCCACGGGTTGCTGGGAGCGGCGCCATATGGCAGCGGCCCGTGCGCTCGGGTTGTCGGTCTCCCCGCGACCCGCGAGCGCCGCGCACCAGAAGTCACTTTGTCGCCGGGGATCACTCCTCGCGTGCAGCTGACAGGTGGTGGACAGGTTCGTGGGGATGGTGCGCGACGGGGGGTCCCTGCTCGAGGACGTGGCGGTCGTCGGCGTGTGCGCACTGCGCGGCCGCCCCACCTTCCGCGGCCTGCCAGGCAGCGCCGCGTGGCCGGCCAGCCAGGCGAGGCTGGCGTTCACGAAGGCCTGCGACGTGTCGGGCCGCCACTGCGTGGTGACGGGCTACTGCACCGACAGCCCCCTGGCGCTGAAGCTCCTCGCGGCCGAGCACGGGAGCGAGGAGGTCTTCGTGCTGTGCCTGGGCGAGCTCGAGCTGCGCCGCCTGCTGGGCGCGCCCCAGGGCTCCCCCGTGGAGCTGCAGGGCGCCGCCGGGCTCGAGCTGCTGGGCAGGCTGAGCATCGTCGAGTGCCTGGGGGGCAGGCCCGTGCTCGTCGCCACGTTCCCCGTCGACGCGCCCGCCACGGTGCTCAACGCCGCGCCCTCGCCGGCCCCCACGCCGGCGGGCGCGCCGGCGCTGGAGGCGGCAGGGCAGGCTGCCCCTGCCCCCCCTGGCGGCGAGCTCCAGGGCGCCATCGCCCCCGTCGCCCTGGAGATGCAGGGCTCGGAGCCGCCGGCCGCCGTGCGCCCCGCGCAGGCTCCCTGCGCCCGCCGGGGCCGAGCGCCGAGGGACACCGGGAGGTTGTCGTTCGAGGACGTGCTCGAGTTCGAGGAGCGCTTCTTCGTCCTGAGCGTTTCGGAGGAGGAGTCCACGGGTGCGCTGCACGTGCGGCTCCAGGAGTCGGGCACCTGCGCGGCGCTCGACGCGCTGCTGCCCGGTCGCCGCCATGAGCGGCAGGAGAGGCCGGCGAGGCAGCTGCGGATTTTCGCCCAATCTCACGACTTCAGAGACCTCGTGCTCTTCCTGGCCATAGAGGACATCGCTGTGCCCCACGGGCTGATGGTCCGCGTCGCACGTGGAGGCGCAGCGGGCTGGGAGCCCTCGACGTGGCGCGACCCGGGGCAGCGGGTGTACTGGCTGGGGCGCGAGGGGGGGCCCGTCTTCGGCGCCGGGGACGACGGCGCCGGCGCCGACGTCCACGTCGCCGTGGCGCCCCCAGAGCACCGCAGGTTTAGATCGGGCATGTCCCTCTACTGGAAAAATTCTCAAACATAGTTTTAAAAGTCAGCAGAAATAGAACGTGAAATAGTATGGGGACGATGTTTCCTCAACTTCTGGCTATTCTTGAATATTCTTCCGTTGTTTCAAAATGCTTTCTTCCAAAACCCGGCGGTTGGAGGACAGGCCCGACCTGACTGCAGGTGGCTCCTCGACTTCGCGCGCTCGGAGACCTCGTATGGCGAGGCGCAGCACGCCAGCGCGTCCGCCCGCTGCCTGCTGCAGCCCCGCTACGGCGCGGAGGGCACGCGCGAGGGCATCGTGCTGCGCGCCGGCGCCGCGGGCGGCCACGCGGCCCGGGACGCGGAGGTGCTGAAGGCCTCCGCGGCCCAGTGGAGGGCCTCGGCGGAGCAGCCGAGCGGCCGCCTGCTGCTGCGGCGTGGGCGGAGGTTGCGGGCCCCCGACGGCGGCTCCGTGCTCTGCGTGCTGCTGATCTGCGAGCAGGCCGAGCCACACCTGCACTTCACCGTGGGGGCCTACCAGGCCTCGAGGAGCCACAGAAGCTGGGCCGTGCACCTCGAAGGAGAAGGAGCGCCATGAACATGAGCTTTCGGCGTTCCGCCCGGATTGTTTGGATCCGCGCTGCCCCCCCCCCCAGGCGGCGCTTCCAGCGCCGCCCCTGGCGCGCTCCGCGCGCGTCAGTGAGGGGGGCCCAGCGCGGATCCAAGGAGAGGAATCCGCGCGGAGCGCCAAAAGTTTAGGTTTATGCAGTTTTTTCTTCCACACAAGCTGAGCCATGCATCGGGGGCGGCCAAAAGGAGGGTGACGACTGGGAGGGGGAGATCATGGTCTGGGCCATGACGTCTCCCCGGAGTTCGTGGCCCCGTCCCTGGCCCCCCCCTCGTCCGCGCACATGGATCGGGCCATGATTTGCGAATCCCCATCTGACGCTCCCCTCTTGGAAGCCCCCGAATGCACCTTCAGTGGTCCGCGTGTACTTCCTGGATCGGCGCTGGACCCCTCTGGCGGCGCTTCTGGCGCCGCCACAGGCGCGCTCCGCGCGCCAGCTGGGGGGGGTCCAACGGCATCCTTGCTGACCTCCGAAAGTTCATGGCTCATCATGTTTGTTTTGTCCGAACTATGCCCTCTGGCTGGGTCCTCGTTTTGAATACGGTGGGGGCGTTGGTGAAGGAATGCGCCCAGGATGCTGCAGACCCTGGAGGAGTCCTTCTCTGATGAGGGCGGCGGTGATATCCATGGCCAAGCCTCGATTGGAGTTCCACCGGCCTCCAGACCCTGGATTCCTCATCATCCAATGTTTCCTTATCCAACACCTTCACCGTAGAGCACAGTGGTCTCCTCTCCTCTCCTCTCCTCTCCTCTCCTCTCCTCTCCTCTCCTCTCCTCTCCTCTCCTCTCCTCTCTCCTTCTTCTCCTCCTCCTCCTCCTCCTCCTCCTCCTCCTCCTCCGCTTCGCCACCTCCTCCTCCTCCTCCTCCTCCTCCTCCTCCTCCTCCTCCTCCTCCTCCTCCTCTTCGCCTCCTGCCTCCTATGCATCCTGCTTCTTCCCTAAGTACCCTCCCTCCGTCTGGTTCGGGCTTATGTCTCGGATAGAGCACTGGTCGCACAACCTCCCTCACACATGCCCTTTCCTTTCTGCCTTCAGCATCATGCTTTCCCGACCCTCCCTCTGGTTGGGTCCTCGTTTTGACCCCCTGTTTCTCCTCCTCCTTCTCCTCCTCCTCTTCCTCCTCCTTCTCCTCTTTCCTCCTCCTCCTCCTCCTCCTCCTCCTCCTTCTCCTTCTCCTCCCCTCCCTCCTCCCTCATCCTGCCTCACACCTCCCACCTTTCCTACTGGGGGGCTGCCAATTGCATACGTGTCGCCACTTCCGTGGGCTCCTGGGAGGCGCAGCGGAGGGGGGGGGGTCACGCAGGCCCAGGTCAGACCTCGCTGCCCCGTGGGGGCTTCCAGCTGCGCAGCCGTCGCCGCGACTCGTGCACTCAGGAGACGCACGGGAGACCAGCGCGGTGGAGTGCCGCGCGAACCCGGACGAGACCCTCGCGGCCCCCTGGAGGGCCGCCAGCTGCGACAGGGTCGCCGCTTTCGTGGGCCCCTTGGGAGGCCCAGAGGACCGGCGCCCCGCGCACACCCATGACGAGACCTCTCGCGGCTCTCCCTTGGGGGGCTGCCGCTTGCGCAGCAGGCGCCATCACCGTCGGGCTCCTGGGAGGGCCAGCGGGGTGGCGTCCTGCGCCCACCCCGGCAGGACTTCGCGGCTCCCCAGGAGGCCGCCGCCTGCGAGGCGGTCGCCACTTCCGTGCGCTCCTCGGCGAAGTGCTCAAGCGTGCTGCGTGTCCAGCTGCCTCCGGCGATGCCGCCACCGTGCCAGCGCATTCTGGGTGGCGACTACTCGAGAAGGCAAGGGAGCCTCCTGGTGGCCTCTTGGGGCAGACGGCTCGGATTCTCAGTTCTTGTTCCAACCCGTGGGCCCTTCTTGGGGCCTCCTTGGGGCCCTCTTGGGCAGCCGGGGGATCTCGGAGCCCTCTTTGGCCGGTCTTGCAGCTCTCTCGGGGGCCAACTGAGCCGTCTCGGGAAGTCTTTGGGGCCTCTTGGACCGTCAGGCGAGAACCCGAGAAACATTGAACACTCTGCGGACAATCAACTGCTTTTGCCTCTCGGGGCCCTCTTGGGGGCCTCTCTTGGCCCTCTTGGGGCCTCCTGAACCCTCTTGGGGCGGAGGCTCGATCTGTCAGTTCGTTTTTATCCTCTAGGGCACTTCTTGGGGCCGTCTTGGGGCTCTTGGACATTCCTGGGAGCCTCTTGGGCCATCTTGGAGCCCTCTTTGGCAGTCTTGGGGACCTCTTGTGGGCCTCTTGGGCGGCCTTGGGGCAGTCCTGGTGGCATCTTGGGTCGTCTTGGGACGTCGGAATTTCGAAGAAGAACCCGAAAAGCAGTGAAGAACCACAGGGAAATCAATGATATGTGCCTCTCGAGGCTCTCTTGGGAAGGCTCTTCGGGCTCTCTTGAAACGCCTCGCTGGTCTCATGGGCCGTCTCCAAGCCATCCTGGGATGTCCTGAGGCCAACGAGGCCCATCTTGGAGCGACAGTGGGTCGTCTTGGAGGCATCTGGGCCTCGGGAGCGCGAATCTTTCGCATGCGACCGGGTGCGAGGAGAGAGAGGGGCCCTTAGAAAAGTTCAGAAAACCGACCAGACAGACCTTGGCATTCTTCCACGCCTCCAAGTGCACACGGCACGGTGGCGGATCTCACAACGGGAGAAAGGGTTGGGCACGCACCGAGGAGTTACGCTCAACATTGATGGTAAGGATGAGCGATTTTGCGAGGGTTCCCTTGCATCCTTTCCCGTCGGCTCATCCTTCGCCACTTCGTTGGCCGCTCCCCGCTCGAAAAGCGTCGGCGTGGCCTTCCAAGGGCCCTTACACCATTATCGTGCGTCTTGACTGTCCGTTTGGATCGCATGTTTGCTTTCTTTTCTTTTTTTTCTCTCTCTCTCTCTCTCTCTCTCTCAAGAGAGAGAGAGGCCGGCGGC